CAAGAAAGCCGGGGCGTTGAATCATTTCCGCTTCATCATATCCTCATAGGCAGTAGATAAGGTTAAAAAATGGAAAATTTTTTTACACTAACCACCTTTATATATACAACACCTGATTGATCCTTTTCTTTTACGCGACACAATAAATTCGGCAGAAAACTTTCCCGAATTTACTAATCAACCTATCATTTTGTTTTGATCATGTGATCATACGCGATGTGGTGCGATTGGCACTTTTGGGAAGTCCAAATCTTTGAAATCAAGATAATCCAAGGCTTTCTATCACCTGATGCCATGTAAATCTCGATTCTTCTTGGTCAACCGATGACTTATACAGCCAGCCACTGTCGTCGGAAGATGAACACACAACCAAATTTACGAAATTCCTGTCTCACATGGTACGTCCAAAGATTACCGAGTTTTTGTTCCACCACCTTAATATCATCAATGCAAGGGTTTCTTATGCATTTTAGTAATGTAGGTAATGTAAGGGCTCTCCTATGCATTTAAGAAAGGACCAAAGATCATTATAGGCGGGTTTCAAGAAAGGTGACACGAATGAATTTCGTAAGCAGAACAAAAATTTTATTGAAAAATATTTTATTCTAGACGCCTATTGGTCTCGTTCTGCTTATTTTGTTTGCCTTTTACAGATATCAATAAATTATAATGAATTAAATGATTGCATAGAATATTTAAAGACATCGATACTCGAATTTTCGTTTGGCCCTATCAGATAATTGGCTTTTCTGGTCTCCGCAAAGACATTTAATTTTGCCCGAAAATTTTTTTTCAGGGTCAGTCGTCTCGGGCTTCACCTGTGCTCGCGCAAAAGTTAAACAGATGTCGAGCCCTTTGGACAACGTTTCCTCCAACTTCTCTTAATGTTCACAATCATCTCTGAATAGTTTGCGGATAATCCTTTCCCAGTTCTTTTCGAGGAAAGGATCGGACGTTGATCCTGAACAATTTTACTTCTTTTTTTCTCCATTAAAAAAAAAAAATTCAAAAAAAAAAAAACAATCGCGCATTGAAATGATCCTCGGATATATTGGTTAAATGTGATGACTTTTTTTTGATCTCTACTTGTAAATACGTGTAAAACCGTGTATCTGGACATTTCTAAATTCTTCTTTCGGACTTGATCATTCACGAAAATCGAGCAAAGAACCAAATTTCCTTTCTTTTTTTTTTTTTTTTCTGCCGACTATCCATTAATCTGCTGCTGGTGCGAAACATCGGTAGAAAAAAAAAATTCCTTTCATACTTTCTTTCCCGGAAAGATCCCGAGCTCGATCTAACTTCATAACTGTCGTTCCTTTTCCTATAAATAGTGTAATTTAACGTTCGTTCCCATTTTATTATTTATCTTTTCGCGTTAACTTTTATTTTCTAATGGACTGTGTTTCAACAAATTTCGTTCCACCAAATTCGATTACACTTTTTGGACTTACGTTTCGGGCCCATATAAACATTGATAAATAATTTTTCGTTATCCTTTCTTCTCTTTCTTAAACACGTCACGTGACATGAGTGAATAGAAAGATTTCGGGAAACCAAAGAAATTGTGTTTGTGATGATGATTTCTCAATCTTTCACCTATCGAATCAAATTTACTTACGACTTATGAACTTTTTTTATCCTTGGACTTTTTTTTTTTTTTTAAAGTTATCATTTTTGCCGTTCGTCGAAACCAACGTTGGTCTTTTTTATATGAACCAAAAACATAAGCAAAACACATTACCCCTAAGATTTTCCAGAATTATTATGTATTTTCCCAGGGAAAATCGACAACCGGTTGTCGATTTATTTTCATCATTTTATTTTATTTTTTTGGCAAAAAAAAAGAACGGAAAAAAAAAAAAAAAAAAAAAAGGAATCTTCTCGAATCTCTTATTTATTTCATTTTTCTCATTTCTTTGTTTTTATCACTTTTCTTTTTTTCTTCACACAATTAGAAAATTCGAAATCTCAGCACAAACAATCCAAAATTTCGTCAGTTTTCTGTATAATAATAATAGTAGTATATTATATAATATAGATTGTGTTATTATTTAAACGGAATAAAAAAAATCTTCCAACCTGCATTAACGATCGATAATTCCTAATCGATGCTGCCCCTTTTCATTGTCCTATCGATTTGTATAAATGTGCCATGACTTATTTCCTTTATGGGACGATCGTTAAACCGGCTCATGCATCCCGACGCGTAAATACGGGTGCGCTGTATTTGTTCAATTCCGTCGACGGGAAAAATGCGAAATGCGAGAAAAGTATTGGACGATCTACTATTACGCGATGTTCCGATCACGTGATCATGGGATATTATTAACATTATTTGGTAAATGTTAATCTAAAAAATATACAAAAATTCGATATGGATCTTTTAGTATTAATAAATAAACTAATTATGAATAAAAAGTAATTTACAGTGTTCAAGTATTTATTTATATCAAGTTAGATATATAAAAAATTCCAGATAATTTCGGGTACCATTATATATACCGTATAAATAATTTATATAAATCGTATCATTTTAATACACTGTATACCATCTTTATCCAATTTATCAGCATTGTGTAGTTACTTGGATTTGAAAATGGCAAAGAAATGCATTTTTAACATACTGTGGATTTAACGCGTTAAACAGAAATGCGCAAGGACACATGAACATTACAATTTTCAGGATAAACTCGATATGCCGATCACCGGTGACCTATATTCGTGGAAAGCATGTGAACGTGCTGAACGTTAACGTAATTACGAAAAGATTTGTTAATACGGTCAGATCTCCTCAACTACACCCTCCTTAGATGCACGTTTGAGTGCATTTAGAGAGGCCTGACCGCACTATTTTTTTTTTTCTTTTTCAGGCTCAACATGATTTCTTCGTCTTAGTGCCACCTGTTGTATTTTGATGAACAAACAACACGTAATCCCTGCGTTCTGGAGAGTCAAAAGTTTCTCGTGCCAGTCCCTTTTTGATCATGTTTGACTCAACATTACGAAAACCATGATCTCAAAAATATAATATACTATATTCGGGACGTGTCTTTAAAAAAAAAAGAATTCATGTTTTTGTCATTTCGTAAGAGAAATTATGTCAATGGGAAAATAAAGATGTTTATGACGTGAAATTTTATTCATTACTAAAATATTTCATCATCCGGTCCGTAGTTTAACGGAAGAAACATGCTTTCACGAAAACTGATATAAATACTCTCCTTCTTCTCCCTTCTACCATCAAATCTTTTTCCACCAAAATTTATTCAAAATACCTTTGAAATATCGAATTTTAAAATTCTGTACGTCAGTTGAAAAATCTGGGCAAATAGCAATTATGCCTTCAGTAGGAAAAGACGATCTTAAAGTTGGTTGTAAGGTTCTTTATCGTCCGATCGGTGGCAGCGAGAAAACTTCGGAAGGAATCGTAAAGGCGGTTATCGATAAGCCAGAGGTAAATTGATTTACACGTTTTCTTTCTTTCGTTATATACATATGTTTACTCAACTGTGCGAGTCACAGGTTGTTGGCAACAGTCAAGTCGAGGTTAAGGCTTCCAAAGAACATCCAAGATTTTTAATTGAGAATTGTAACACTCACAGGGTACACGCCATTCTTTTGATTTTGTTGCGATTTATCTTTTGCTTTAAACGAATATTTAAATAATTTTTGTGTCGATTTATATAGGAAACCGGTAATGTATTTTAAAATTCCCAAATGCAGATCCCCAATAATGAAACTTGGCGTACTTACTTACAGTATATAATCTTAAACGTAGCCTATAAGCTTGAAAACATCGAAAGAGTCATTGAAGCCTAAGAGCCAAAGATCAAAAGCTTTGCACGTAATCCCGTTCAAAATTCATCCTGTATCACAAAATATTCAAGTTACAATAAATAGTTCGTTTCGATTGGTGAAATTCAAATTTCGGTTATTTAACTTTGTGAAATTTTTTAAATGAATTAATTCAGTGTTAATATTAATAAAATAATAGTTTATATAATTAATACTGGTATACTGTATATACTGTATATATTTGCTTGTAATTAACTTTATATTATTGTATATAAATATTATCAAGCAAATAAAATTAATTTTGTTATGTACAATAACTAATTATTTATGTTTTTTCAAGCAAAAATACTTTTTTCAACCATAATTTCAAAATAACTAAAAAATCCTATATTATAATAATACAACCTAAATTTACAATCTATTTTAAATTTTTTACTTTTTTAATTCAAAAAAAATAAATAAATAAATAATCAACAAATAAAAAGAAATTTTAATTTTAGACAGAGAGAAGTATAATTGGCAAAAAACAAACAAATAATAAACGAAATTAATTATATCTCAATAATATATGCGGTATATTAATTTATTATGTTGGTTATGATTTTTTATTTTATTTTTTTGGAAATAAGCAAGTCATTTTAGCTTTAAAACACCATTAATATATGGCATATTAATGTTATTCAAGGTTATTCAAATATACTTATTATCGATGTTTATTTAATGCGGATTTTTTTCTTATAACATTTTAATAATATTTTAGAGCATTAAATAATATTTTAATGTTTTTTATTTTCATTTTAGTGCACAAAGTATTATGTTACTTCTCGTGGAATTCCTGATCTTTTAACAAATTTTATTTTAACAACATTACGACAGCCGTTATCAACTTTCATTCTTTACAGCGTTACTTTCGTTACTTTCTGCGTAGAAGTCATGACTTAAAGAGAGAATGAGATATTATTTTATTACATTAAAAGTATGTCTTGTTATTATTCGTCAAATATTAATTCGATTGAATTTACACAATTGAAAAGAACTTTCTGTCTTACGTTGACCCTTCGAGGTCGAAAAGTTCGCCAAATGTAAAGAATTTTCCGTAAGAGACAAAATTGACCTCGAAGGAAGGGATAATTAAAGGAGAAAATATATATATTAATGATGTTGATAAACTAAATGTTCATGCAAGTACTAATATCATCCGTCTAATAAATCGTGTCATCCGATTTGAAACGCTTGTTCGAATCTCCACTATCCGAAAATCCGTCCGTGACGTCATCTTCCGGTGTCGATGGCCTTTTGCTATCATTCTTGTTAATTTCCCTTTTAACGACTTTGAACACTTCGTAATCAGTAAGTGAAAACGATTCCCGATCAAAAATCGACTTTTCATAGGATTTTTGTATGCACTTTCCAGAAAACCATTGCAGATCATGACTAAAGCTTGGATTTTTCATAGCATTCCAAATAGCGGCCTTATTTGTCTTGATACGAGAAAGAATGTTAGACTCCGCGTTGTAATCATATTTATCCATCGAGAATAGAAAACCTTTTGATGTCTCTCCCCAACCCCCTTCACTTTTCCAGTCAATTGGATTATACCCGCCAAGCACTCGACTCGAGTTAGCAAGTTCTATAATTACGATTGTCGGACCTTGGTTGTCACATCGCTCATGAAATTTATGTGAATCGTTCGTCCCATCTCGACTACCACGTAAAAGGAGGTGAAAAGTGTATGGCATATCGTCTGGTGTGTATGCATCCGCGTCGATCACGTTGTCCAACCATGCCGCAATCTGGCAAAAATGATTTATACTGATTAATTTAGAACTGTACGCGGTTGACTGTTCTGTTCGTGGTGGAAGTCTGATAAAACGTTTGGGTGCAATATTGGCAAAGAAATAATCTTTTATTTCTTCCCTCAATTCTTTGGGTAGAATCTTTTTAAACGGTCGAATTCTGGTTCTATGATCCTCTCCTGATAT